GGTGGCACACACCTGTAGTCCCAGCTACTCTGGAGGCTGAGGTGGGAGGATCCCTTGAGCCAGCGAGGTGGAGGTCGCAGTGAGCTGTGTTTGCAGCACAGCACTCCAGGCTGGGTGATAGAGCAAGACCCTGTCTCAAAGAAAAAAAAAACAACACAGGTTACTGGATGCTAAGAGTGATGAACAATATAAGGAAAGGTAAGAAGGAACAGGCCATGTTTCATGTTTGTTATTCAGGGAAATTTCAAGTGGGATGAGGTCTTACATACTTTCTATTCTAGGCTTACCAGTCCAAACAACTGTATTCATCCTTTATCTACCAGTGTAGTCCCTACCTCCTCCAAGCCGATTCTCTCCATAAATTTTGATCCCCAGAGTTCTTCCCTGCACTTGCAGTCTGTTACAACCCTGATCTGAGTATGACTGATCTTTTTTTTTCTTCTTTTAGGTAACCTAAATCAAGGCTTTTTAAAAACTATTAACAGCTATAAAATGCTAGTGATTATTATTCTCTAATTCTTTTGCTAGTAATCAACTTGTAAATCTAATCTTGCCACACCCTGCTTAAATCCTTTCAATCATTTTCCATTTTTCTTAGAAAAGAGGCATAAATCCTTTCAATATCCTACAGATCCTGTAATAACTGGTTCCTGCTTACCCCTCTAGCTTCTTAAGGAGATAAACTTCCTCCCATCACTGAGCAAAAGCTCTGGAAACCTTGTCCTTTACTCCTCTTTTGGCCTAGTTAGTTTCTGCACCTACCCAAATCTGTTTTTACTTATCTCAAATCTGTTTTCACTCTCAGAGAACCGTTACTTTGTTACTTTGTGTGAGACAAGTCATCTCAGTTTGTGTTTACGTATCGCTGCTTTGATTACTGAACTGAATATCTCTCCCACTAGAAAATAAACTCCATGAGATCGGGGACATTGCCACTGACATGCCTGGGAATACCAGGCACTCAACTGATACCTGTCGAATGCGTTAGGCTGCCTCTTCCAACTATACTGCAGGCATCCTGATGCCCGCTTTGGCCGGACTGCACTGGGAGTGGCAGGAGGGTTGGGCGCAGAGGAACTAGCCCGCGGATGAGCATAAACTTTTTAAGTAGGAAACATTCCTCAGTCGGCGGTCAGCTTCTCTGGTCTCGCGCGGCTCAAGCTATACTTTGGGGGGACGCTGGACGAAGGCCCTGGCAAGAGAAATGCAGATCCCAGGATCCGCATTCACCCCCAACGGCAGTCCAGATGCCTGACGCGGCACCCACCTCCCGAAGCAGCTTCAGGTCCCCGTGCTGGATCTCGTACAGCTGAATGACGCCGGTGCCCCGTGCGAAGTTGCCCATGGTCACAAATTTGGCGCTGCAGGGCACCCACTTACAGTCAAACACTGTGTAGTTGAAGCCCTTCTGGATATGGGCGATGATCTGAGGCTTCTCGAAAGCCGACATGGTCCAGCAGATTTCAGCTTCGGCAACTGCCACACCCAGAGCCCCCCAAAACACCAACCTGGAAACCAGGCTCCAAACATTGGTAATTTGACCCTCCTGCTTTCCGTACTCTGCCCCAGATGCTCTAGAAAGTTGGCTGTAGTTATCCACGGATAATGCCAGATGCGCTCCTGCGATCTCACAGAATGTTCCTTCACAACAAAACGAATTTGCTTATCGCCTTTACCCACTGCCTTTAGCACACATACATATTAGAGATTACAAAATACTTGGGCTGTGAGTGGCGTGGCTGGAGTGAGATGATGAGCATCAGGCGTATCTTAGGACAGCCTACACACCCTTTCCACCCCGCCCCCAAATTCTGCAGGTCCCCGGTCTGTGGCGTTTTAGGGAAGGGGCGGAGCTGCGGGGGCGGTTGGCGGAGGCTGGGTCCTGCGCTGTGTAGCAGCGCACGTGTTTCAGCCGGAAGTGCTTAAGAATCCCAGGGATGGAATCCGAAATGGAAGCACAGAGCGCCGTAGCAGAGGAGGGCTTTACCCAGGTCACTCGCAAGGGTGGTCGGCGGGCGAAGAAACGGCAGGCTGAACAGCTGTCCGCAGCGGGAGAGGGCGGGGATGCAGGCCTTATGGACACAGAAGAGGCCAGGCCGGCGAAGAGGCCCGTCTTCCCGCCCCTCTGCGGCGATGGGCTCCTGGGTGGGAAAGAAGAAACAAGGAAAATTCCAGTCCCAGCTAACAGATACACACCATTAAAAGAAAACTGGATGAAGATATTTACTCCTATTGTGGAACATTTGGGACTTCAGATACGCTTTAACTTGAAATCAAGGAATGTAGAAATCAGGGTAAGGAAAATCTCAGCCATTTCTCAGCACACCAGGCTTTCTCTCCTACAGAGATGAAAAGGCTTGAATAGACTTTACTTAATGGGACGTATTCTGTTAAATGTTTTTTGTCCAGTTTAAAAATTTACTATATTGAGTTTGAACATCCCAAATGCCTTCAAAATCTGTATTTGATACAAATATTAGTTGAATTTTTAAGTTAGTTCTGAGATCATACCAAAATACCGGTTCTGCTTCTGTATATCTTTTATAATGTATGTCAAATTGAGAAAAGGTCGAGTAAAGAGATTGTCATAAATAGAAGTAAACAATGAATATAAGTACTTGCTGCTTTGTGAGAAGTATATACAGTCAGCATCAGGGATATGTTCTGAGATACGTTTTGTTAGATGACTTAGTCCTTGTGCAAACATTATAGAGTGTACTTAAACGTAGGTGGTATATTTGTTTATATATTTTTTTAATATGGAAAACCACATGTCCCAGCACCATTACTGAATATCAATCATTTCACCTACTTGATCTGCATTGCTAATATACAGTGCCATGTAACAGGTTTCTGTATAGTCTTCATTATACTGTAATGAGACCACCATGATGTGAGCAGTTGGTCATTGATCAAAATGTCATTATGCCGTGCATGACTGTATTTTAATGGTACTCTTGATTTTAAAATGTGTTATTTTGATAAACATGTACGTGTGTGTATATATATACATACACGTGTGTACATATGTGTGTATATATACATATACGTGTGCACATATATATACACATATATACATTTATGAAGATATTTACTCCTATTGTGGAACATTTGGGACTTCAGATACACTTTAACTTGAAATCAAGGAATGTAGAAATCAGGTAATATGTAAATATTACATACATTATATGTATATATGTTTATATATGCACAGGTATAATATACATATTATATATGTATATATGTGTGTATATACACACGTATATATAACACACACGTATATATACACACATATATACATATATAATATGTATATAAGTGTGTGTATATATATATGTGTGTGTTCGTGTTTATACCACAGCACTCCAGGCTGGGTGACAGAGTGAGACCCTGTCTCAAAAAAAAAAAAAAAAAGCCACAGGTTATTTTTATTTAATAAAAAAAAAAAAAAAAGCCACAGGTTATTTGTATATATGTGTATGATGTGTGTGTGTGTGTATGATGATACATATATGTATGTATATATATACACACACACACACATGATCATACATATATGTATGATCATACTATACCAGCTCTCATGGTGGTATCAGAATCCTTAAAAAGGAAAATATAATTTTGGTTATCCATTGACAGCATGGAATTTAAAATGTATATATATATGATATATATATTTTTATATATAAATATAAATATATATAAAATATAAATTACATATACACACATGATCATACACACACACTATATATATATTTCCATATATACACACATACATACACATACATACACACACATATGTACATATTTTATTTCGCTCTTTCAACCAGGCTGGAGTGCAGTGGCAAGATCTTGGCTTAGTGATAACAGGCGCCCGCCACCACGCCTGGCTAATTTTTGTATCTTTAGTAGAGACTGGGTTTTACCATGTTGGCCAGGCTGGTCTCAAGCTCCTGACCTCAGGTGATCTGCCCACTTCGGCCTCCCAAAGTGCTGGGATTACAGGTGTGACCCACCGTGCCCAGCCTATATATATGTATTTTAAATTCCATGCTGTCAATCCAGGAAATAGACATTTAAAATTAATTTACTTTGGGCTTTGTTTTTAGGGTACCAATTTCATGCCAGAATCGATAACCAAAATTAATTATATTTTCCTTTTTAAGGATTCTGATACCATCATCAGGACTGGTATAGTCTCATCTCTGTTAATGGAATATAATAATGGAACAAAGAGGCACTATTCTAAATAGTTGTTAAAGTTTAAAATATCACAGAACAAGACAGAGTAACTCCTCTTTGTCCCTGTTGCCGCAAATTCCCTCTCATTCAGGCTTTTATGGTTTCCTGCCAAGGAGTCTTGTTTCTTTGTAGGATTCCCTTACTTCATTGTTTTAAGTCTCTCCTGTCTCTACTCATCAATCTGCCAGTGCCAGATTAATTTTCCCAGACCACAATGACGTCTTGGCATCTTCAACATTTCTAAAGGAAAAAGTTTCTGACTTAACTTGCCTTTCGAGTAGGAGATGTAGCCACAAATTTGTCTCTCACCATTTTTTTTACGTCCATACTTTTTAATGGCTTTGCCCTTTGAAGGAGTTCCTCTCCTCCTTACTCCTTTCTCTTTCTACTTCAGTGCCAGTATCTTTCCGGATCTACCTCAAGTTCATTCTCTGTTATGGTATATCCATTTTTCAGTCATGTCTTCAGTGCCTAAACTTTTCATGTGCTTCACTGTCCTATTTATTGCAGAATCATCACTTTGGATTCCACTAACATTTGTTAATGCTGCCGTATACCAGACACACAGTGGTATTGCAGCATGCTCTACATTATTTAGTCTTCAGGATATTCCTCTCTTAAAGATGTGAGGAAACTTGGCCAATAAGCTAGTAAGGGAAATATCTAATAAGGGAATAATAAGAGCTAATAAGGGAAACTTTCTATTATACTAGTAGGGAACACTCAGGGTCTTCCACTCTGACCTCTTTATTTTACTGATGAGAAAACTCAAGACCTGAAGTATCTATGGGACTTGCCTAAGGTCACATATAGGATTGGAACTAGGGTCTAGTTTTAAATGTGAAAGCCTCGGGGACTTTCCCATTACACAAGCCCATATGGTTTTAAATTTGTTGAATACGTGGTCTTCTCAATTAGATTGTGAATGTGTATGGGATAGTGGAAATAACGGTTTTAGAATCAGACTTGTGTTTGAATCTTACTTTTTTTGGTTTCCAGTACTTTCGTTTCCTCATATATGAAGGTATTTGTATCACTTAACATTCCAGGTTTTTGTGAAGGTTAGAATTATGGTATATAAAGCGTGTTATTTATAGTACATGTTATTTACAATGGTAGGCATTTTATGAATGACAGGTATTTCTGCATTTATCAAATAAACTTTGATGACAGGATCAGTACTTCAATCATTCTTGATTTCCCTTGTCTGTGTGCAGGTAGTTAGGCCTGGAGCTGTTGATTTAAGAAACATCAGCATATAAATGATAACTAAGTCAGAAGATTAAGTCAGGACTCCCAGGGAAGACTGCCTCAATGGAAAAGAGAGTTAGGACAGGCTTGGGCATTGAAGGGATGGGCAGAACGTAGAGGTCCTTCAGAATGCGAGAGATTGGGTTGTGCTAGAGGAGTCTTGCTGTTAACCCCAAAATCTGACCATACAGTGCAGTTAGTTATTTGACACTCTTTGGGTGGAACGGCCAAGCTTTGGAACTGGAAAGGTCTTGTTTTGCAAATGAAATATTGCACTTACCCCACCAGAACCTGTGTCATACAGAATATATTGGGAGAAGGTAGTGAAGGAAATTCTCTAATAATGGGAAAGGACATTTCTAGTATTTTGTTAGAACATTTTCTGTTTGATTCTCAACTGTATTTTGTACCTTTTTTGTTTTTTAACAGACTTGTAAAGAAACCAAGGATGTTAGTGCTCTGACAAAAGCAGCTGATTTTGTGAAAGCCTTTATTCTCGGCTTTCAGGTGGAGGTGAGTAAGTCCATGACATCTAAAATGAGGATTTGCAAAATACTCAGTGTGAACATTTCAATGGATTAGGCATTGAAAAAAATAATAAAATAGGCCAGGCGCAGTGGCCCACGCCTGTAATCCCAGCACTTTGGGAGGCCAGGAGTTCGAAACCAGCCTAGCCAACATGGTAATACCCTATCTCTACTGAAAATACAAAAAGTTTATTTTTCTTCTTTTTTTTTTTTTTTGTCACACTTTCTATCATTCACTAGAAAATACAAAAAATTTAGCCAGGTATGGTGGTACATGCCTGTGGTCCCACCTGCTTGGGAGGCTGAGGTGGGAAAATTGCTCGAACCCGGG